AGTACTATAAACTAAATATTATATAGATCTACTTGAATTTTACAATTACATTCTTATAAGCTATTGCACAAATGTTTCACATAAATATTCATATTTGATGTACATTGATACTTATTTCATTTTAACTTGGTAAATTATAGTAATCGCAAAAACTTTTGAAAATGAACGAAATTGAAAATGAAAGCTCTTGCTTATCTTTACGCTTCAAGGCCTTCTGAACGCTTTGGCATTTTATAAAACCTTAGAAACTGTGGATGAATGTTTGAGTGTGTATGCGCGTACATATAATTTTTTTAAAAAGAAACTTTTCGTTTAAATTGAAAATTTTTCAAAATTTTCAAAAAATTTAAAATTAAAAAAATAAATGCATTCAAAAATTGTGTCCACCAATTTATTTAAATAACGTCCAGATTCTGAAACAGAACATAGTGAAATATCTTGGTCTCCATTTAGACAGCAGACTTACTTGGAAAAGCCACATAAAAACAAAAAAGCAGCAAATAATGATCAAAATAAAAGAATTTGATTGGCTACTACATAAAAAGTCTAAGCTCTCTGTTGAATATAAGTTGCTGCTATATAAATCAATCATTAAACCGATCTGGACCTACGGAATTGAGCTCTGTGGATGTGCTTACGAATCAAATATAGCTATAATGCAGAGAACTCAGTAAAAAATTTTACGTACAATACTTAATTCCCCGTGGTACGTTACAAATGAAATCATTCACAGCGATCTCAACATGAAAACTGTGCAATTAACGTTCAAAGAATTTAAGGAAAAATACAAACGTAAACTGGAATCACATTCACACATCAATAGGCGACATTACCCAACCATTTGGCGATAAAAGATTGAAACGTCCATGGCCTTTAGATTTAGTCTTAGATTAGCTTCAATATATCATTATCTTTTTAATTGTTAAACTAAGAAGATTTCATTGGAGTTCTTCTTAGATATCGCTCTCAAATATTGTCAATTTAGCTTATAGGAATTCTTATGAATTTCTGATTGCTGAATAAAACAAAGTTAAAAAAGGCCCTCTGAACGCTTTGGCATTTTACCAAACCTTAGAAACTGTGGATGAATGTTTGAGTGTGTATGCGCGTACATATCATTTTTTAAAAAATGAACTTTTTGTTTAAATTGGAAATTTTTCAAAATGTTCAAAAAATTTTAAATTAAAAGATAATGCATTCCAAAATTTAAAATTACGGTACGCAAAGTTGCAGGAAATTGCCTTATGGCACCATGCCATGCTTCACTAGTTAACATAATTCAGCACAGTTGGTAACTCATACTTCATCTAAAATATAAATATAAATGCATGTTAGGCGTTCGCCTCGTATCCATATATGTATAAGAATATTCAACTTGTATATTCAAAATATGGCACAGACTCCTGAAATTTGTTTGAGATTTGATCTTACTTAAGTTTACTTTACCAAACTAGTATTAGCTTGTTCTCCGGTAATTTTAAATAACCATAATTAAGTCTCCCAAGTTGAAACTTGCGTACAGTTTATTCCTTCGGTATTACGTGAACTGTAACTAGTTCAGCGGAGTCGTATGGCGAGCAGCGAACTCGGCTGCCTCTCAATTAGTTTTCATAAGAATACTCTCGCCTTAATAAAGAATTATAAAATTGTCGGGACAGACCCGTCGTAAACGTTAGAGCTTGTCGTACCTTTTATGCGGAAATGTCTTGGAGCCATAACCCATAAACATGAACATTATAAAGCTCTTCGTAAGACAAATTTGCTAGCATACGAAACGTGACAGTAGGACCTCTGGTTACCCCAGAGGTAAAAAGATTTTTAATATATGATAATTTGTTTATTATAATTAGACCATATGTGTTTTTACGCCAATATTAATTCCTGATAAAAAAAAAAAATAATAAATTCATATAACATTTGAAATATAAAAAGCATATTATTTTTTTATAATTTATATTAAAAAATAAACAATCCTAAATTTTCACCTTTTTACCATAAGCCCTTATTTCGTAATAATATTTTATTTATTAAATATAAATATAAATTTAAATATAAATATGAATATAAATATGATGAATGCATATTCTTCACTAAATTTCGATTAAAGTTTTCTAAAACTCTTGAAAATCCAAGAACCTACTCTTTATTAAGAGATTTGCGCCCCTATCAGTTTTTTCTGAAACTTTGGAACCAATTTTCTGTGTAAAAATGCATACAAGTCTAAATTTTCTCCTAGCATAAATCTCTATTTGACTTCAGTATTCCAATCATTTTTTATCTAACTCATGAACTGATCAATAATTGTCTTTTTATGGACATTTTTAACAGAAATTCATTAATAATACATCAAACCCTCGAACCTTGAAATGTGCCATTTCAATTTATTTAAATAACAGTTTCATATTAGTCTGGCACTTGCAATGACTAATAGTATGTCCCAGCAACATTGATATGTGGCATCTTTTGCAGAGGATAAACTAAGCATCCATGTAATTTGTGTTAGGTGCCCCTTTCACCACATACCACATACTTCTATTTTTACAATCAGTTAGATTTTATACTAAAAATTTTCTAAAAATATTTTTAAACAACGTTGACCAGGTGTGCGGGAAATCTATTGCTTTCCTCATGGTCTCTTTCTGGTAGATTAAGGGACACAACTAGTGTGAAATTTAAAAAAAATCGAATTTTCAATTTTTCCATATTTCGATAGGTTATACCTTTAACATACCAAAATTTTAAATCGATATCTTAAATAGTTTTTGAGTTGCAGCCATTTAAAGAGTATATATATATATATATAGTACCCGAGTAGAAATTTGTTACGGCAAGCCCTAACTCAGGTCCGGCCCCTATAGGCCCCTATAGGGCTGTACTCCGGCGTCCGTATTACGGAATTTAGTGCATGGCCCTCATAGGGGCCATATATGGGCGGCCCTAATATGGTAATTTGAATAGGGTCCATAAAAGGCATGCCTGAATTCAGCCCTAACACGGATTGCCCTATAATAATTGAAACGGGCCATATTCGGATGCCCTGTTGTACCCCTAATACGTATTGCCCATGATATGATGATACGGTCCGTATTGGAAATTCATTACTAGAGCCCTAATACGGCTTACCCACAGATTATTTAGACAAGCCCTATCTGCATTCTTTATTTGAATCCTACTAGGATTCAATATCAATAGAATCAAAATAGTTTGATTTATTAATATTTTGTAAAAAAAAAGGATTATAATGTGTATTATTGATCAATGATTGTCGTTATAGTCTAAAATAAATATAGAAATAAATTACATAATTAATAATAAAGAAATAATAAATAATAAACAATAAATGAATTATAAAAAATAACTATTAATAAATAATAACAATATGTAATCGGTAACAATATATTTTTTCGTTCTTTCCATAATCTGCATGGTATTCATTATTATCAATATATTATAAATATAATATACGAATTTACGAAAGCTTTATACAACTTTGAACAAAAAATCCAATGGTAATACAAAACCAAAAAGTGTTTTTTTTTTAATAAAATTAATAAAATCATGAAAGATAGGAAATTACATAAAATTTATTAACAATAAAAATAATTATTGAATCGATTATATAACAAGATATTAAAATTATAGCGAATACAATAAAATAATTTTTTAATAAAAATAATACTTTTTGTGATTAGAAGTTATTGGGTATATTACTATTTTTCGATTTTGTCATGTGAGACATATAATATATAAATATATATATATAAATTTTTATGGGTCGTCGAATAAAAAAATTAATGTACTATAAGTTATGATCAATTTATTAATAATAATAGTAGTTTCCTCACTGAAATTATATATACATATATATATATATATATATATATATATATATATATATATATATATAATAATCATATCGAATGTAATAAGTAGAAATAATAAGATCAATTCTGCGTACGTGAACTGTTTGCATAAGATATAGGACCTTCTTAGAAAATTCGTCCAGCACACATATATCGTATTTATTAATTTTAGAGTCTAGACTATACATGAATATTAACTCATATCGAGTATCGAAAGTGTAACAATCAGAAACAGGATCGATGACCTTTTCCTTATGCGTACTTGGTCTATCTAAAGCATAGGACCTTGACATAGGACAAGTAGAAAAACTGAAATAAATTTACATAATTTTACTTCAATAATAAATATCAAAAGTTTTACATTTCATTTTAACATATTCTAAATACTGCTAAACATTAACATCGAATGAAATAGAGTGGGCAAGAGTAAGAAAGATCGGCGCTATGTCACACGTTAACTTTATAGATGCCGGCGTACAGCAGATTGTGAACAATATACATTTATGGTTGCTCATATAATACGAATAGGCAACAAACATTTTGTCAAATATTATTTCGAACAATTTTTTTATGTGGACAGAAATACTGATATTAGTTCAAATAGATCTAATATTGAAGTTCTACGTAAAAAAATTAATAGTACATTAATTTTTTTATTCGACGACCCATAAAAATTTATATATATATATATATAAGTATATATTGAATGCAGAGAAAGAGATCATCATCGCGCCGTTGCATATGATATTATATAAACCATTGATTGATAATATGGAATACGATCGAGGCACCAATACATGTATGTAAGAACTTCATCTTCTATCAAAGAGGACCATTGTTAGTTTTTTAGTTCATTACTGAATGCCAAGCTAAGCGGTCGTTATGTGTTTAATAGGAAGTGCGAAAATTACGAAATATTATTACGATATATTTTTATTTGTTTTAAAAGAACGTCGTGTAATTATCGTTTAATAATCAGTGGAAAAGTAGTGCATTGTGTTGTTTTATTTCTCAATGATACAAGTGAAAATAGAGTATCGATGTAGTGCCGGTGGATTGGTTGATATATAATGAAGGATAAGATAAATTCGAATGCCCATTTTTAAATAATTATGAGCTATCGGGAGAAAATTTACTTCTTCAAGATTTGGTGAAGCGTCGGGCGGCACCAGCATCGGATAATTGGAGTCTTCATGAGGTGGATGTACGAGATTACGCGAGTAAGTATTATTGATCAACTACGTATTGTGTATTTTGTTATATACACACAAACACACACACACACACACACACATATATATATATATATATATATATATATATAAACATATCTTTGATTTGAGTTGTAATTTCAGATACATATTAAATTGCCTTGGAAAAGTTAAAAATATTGCAACAAAAGGAATATGCGTTTTCTACGGACAATGAAGAAACCATAAACAGAAGGCAAGATGTTCTGAAAAAACAATACCGCTTGAATAAAGGGCGTTTTGTAAATCAGAATAACGTCGATCAGCAGTTGTCGGAATGTAACATAAATTTAGGCAATAAGTCGCGCAATGCTTCAAGTAAGTGTATTCTTGTTAACAATTTATCGTGTATTTTTCTTTTTATTATTATCGAATAATTTTAATTTTTTTTAGTTTTTATTTTTTTAGTGTTTAATGTCTTAAAGACAGTGAACTTGTGAAGTGTTTATATGGTAGGTATTATTCACACAGTACACATAGATGATTTTATTATTTATGGCTATACATTTTGTTACAGGTATAATGACAACTGAATCAATTAAAAATCCGCAGTTGAGCCCTATTAAAGAGCAAGCATTTAACCAAGCCCTCGGGAAGGTTATAAATTATTCCCGTGATTGGGAGAATGGGAGAGATCATAGGCGGACCAATAAAACCTAATTAACATTTGTTATTTATTGTTATTATATATTAAAATATTGTTATCAAAAGAATTAATAAAAAAATTTAGCATATGCATTTTTTATGGGCCATGCCAATTATTATTTTCAGGGCCACGTCAAATATATTTTTCAGGGCCATATCAAATATATTTTTCAGGACCATATCACATATTATTTTCAGGGCCGCATCAAATATATTTTTCAGGGCCATATCAAATATATTTTTCAGGGCCATATCACATATTATTTTCAGGGCCATATGCTTATTTTAAGTTAAGGGCCAAGTTCGATATTTTTATAGGGGCCATTTCATATTTTCGATTAGGGCCCGGAACAGTTTGCCCAACACAGACCTTATCCGGCAAGGCGTTACATATCGCATAGGGGCCAAGTACGGTTGCCGCACTGGGACCCTACTTAATTTAGGGCAGCCCTGATCCGCGCCATACTTCAATTTCCAGTCGGGTATATAGTATAACGATCATTTTATCTTTAAACGCGCTTTTCTCGAAACAGCATTTTCCGAATTTGCTGCAACAATTACTCAAAAACAAATGATCCGATCACTATCATTTTTTTACATGTTCTATATATAGTTCTCCGTGAAATAAACGATCGTATCAAAAATCGAATTTTGGCAGTCCAAAAACTACCAAAATTGTGGGTAAAATTCGACTTTTTTTTTAAACGCCGCCATTTTGTCAATTTTTGATTTTTTTCTTTTATCGTAGGTCATTTTACAGACAATATTATCTAGTTTAATGAGATTTTTAAATTTTATCCGCGTAGAAGGCCAGAATCACTGCAGCAGTGAAAGGCCTTTTTTTCGCACCGTTGGAGATCGACGATAACTTAAAAAAACATGTCAATTTTTGATTTTTTTCTTTTATCGTAGGTCATTTTACAGACAATATTATCTAGTTTAATGAGATTTTTAAATTTTATCCGCGTAGAAGGCCAGAATCACTGCAGCAGTGAAAGGCCTTTTTTTCGCACCGTTGGAGATCGACGATAACTTAAAAAAACATTTAAATTTTTTCTTCAAACATTTTACTATGTATTCTTAAAACATGAGTAAATATATTTTTAAAATTTTGAAATGATTGATAAAGTATTTTTTTTAATATAAATTCGCAAAAATCACATTTTTAAGGCGTTTACACTAGTTTGTGCCCCTTAAGATTGAAAAGCTTAATAAGCAAGAAAACGTATAATAAAAATAACCAAATTAATTAATTATTGACTTTTAACTTTGTTATATTTAAAATCATTTTCAAAACATTTTAAGGATAGGTTTTTATATTATTTTTAAAATGTGTTTCCAAAAACATTTTCTTCTCAGCTCGTTGCCCATTCGGTGTGTGTGTTTAAGAGATGATACACTATACTGGTGTCTTGACGCGGAAGATGAAACTCTGTTTGCTTAACCTCTTTAGCCTTTACGGTTCATAGGAATAATGTTCCGACTGTGATATAAGTCATAAACAGTATATTCGTACGTATTTTCATACTTACTGCTAATGTTTGAAGAGTTCTGGACTTAGAAATATTTGTTTTTGCTTCATCGCTGATTACTTCTTGTTATATCTAGTTAGAGAAGATACAATAACAGCAATAACTTGATAATACGATACATGTTAATATAATTATTTAAGTAAGAATTTCTTTTGATAATAAAATATCAGATTAAAAAAATAGACCTCTACAAAATTAACGTTTTCTCAAAACCGTTCTTTATTTCGTCCTCGCTCTTTTTCAGTCATAATTCAAAGATTTAGAGATAATACTGTCTCAATGTGTACTCAAGCCTTTTTTTGAAAAGAAATTATTTTTCTTATCGCTCATTTGATTGTTTGTATTTGGTTGCACGAGCAAAAGGGTTTTTCAGATAATGTTCTATCAAACTTTTTGTGAAAGACCATTTAGAATATGTCTTGAAAGAATGGAGAAGTCGGCACGTTTTCTTGATAAATTGTATAAGGGGATGAAAAACATGATGTTTTATATAAGGGAATTAGATGTTTATTTTTCAAAGTCGTTTGATATTTTGGATAATAATTAAATTTTATATAATATATGAGAAATCTATAAACATTTTTTAAGTTCGATCTGAAGAAAAAATAATTTATTGGTCCTTGAACATCATTACAAATACGGCTATTAAGATATTAAATGCATTATTAGAAATGACAATTATTATTAATCGAAGCGAGTTGAACATATTGGACAGTAATTTTATATAAACAATTTAGTTTATTCTTTTTTTTAGATCTCGTAAGTCTAAATTTTCTTCTAGCACAAATTCCTATTTTACAGTAGAGAATTTAGCATTCCAATCATTTTTTATGTAATTCGAAAGCTGATCAATCAAACTTGAAATGTGCCAATTCAATTTAAATGATATCAGTTTCATATTAGTCTGGCTCTTGAAATGACTAATAATATGCTTCAGTAACATTTATATGTGGAATACTTTGCAGTGGGTAAATTAAGCATCCATGTAATATGTGTTAGGTGCCTCTTTCACCACAGCTATGGACAACCTGACATCGTGCAACAATGATGTGCATGTTCAGTTCCAAATATAAATCAAAAGTTTTCAATTAAAAATAAGCTCATTTCGGGCACTGCGATGTAAAGTGGCAATGAAAAATCTCTATTCTTCCCTAAATGGAGTTGGAGTTTAACTAATCTTACAGCCCTAGGGCAGTACCATTCATTATTATTCTTATCATTTTTTTTAAATAAATTATTATTTATTGCACAATATTATGAAATGTTAAAAAACCAATTAATAATATTTTATTATTATTTAAATAATTTATTTCGGAATATTTTTAGTACTTTATATCTCGTTATCTTCGTATTATTTTCCACAATTCGGACAAAGCAAGTGGAGTTGTTGGTATATAAATGCCTTATCACAAGAGCATCTTAACGCGATTCGGATTATCTCGAATAAAGCTGATGGATGATGCCCTCTCTATGCCACACATCCCTCGAATTTCTCAAGTACGCAGACTGTGAAAATATCCCATTTTCTCCGAAGAAATTTCGATACTGTCGAATCCGACACGATCATGTTCTGAGCGCAAAGTTAAGCTCTGTTTGGATTGCATCTAGTCCAGGGATAACATTAATTACTGTCAGAACTGATTGACTTATTACTTGCCGGGTGTTAGTTTTGGTTATGGATATAGGCTAGGAAAATATTGTTCTAGATGTGATATGAGATTCGTTAAATGAAATATTTATTTGGAGGAAGGAAAATACTGGACGTAGATATAATTGGTTTGATGATTTAATATGTGGTAAAATTATTTCAACCAATATTTGTGAAACTAGTTCTGATTTCTATTTCTATTTTTTCGGATAGAAGATAAATATTACTGCTGCAAAATATTTCTGAATAGCACAAACTTACAGAAACTCAATTTATGGTCAAAATCAAGTCAAGTCTATATATTGCATCGATTTGTGGACGAAATAATCTAATTAAAATAATTTTCCAAAGTTTCACCTATAAACATACTGGACGTGGAGAGATTTTAAATATTTGTTTCAAAATAAATCTAAATATTCAATATTAACACATTATTGAATCCAATTTTCGATTGTATCAGAATGTGATACCAAGTGGATTAGCAGCTACTGGTTTCGGATTCGACATCCATCTTGGCTAACCAGATATCAAGCTGAAGTAGAATCAGATTTTCACTTGAGATTATAGATCTTTAATATGATATATCAGAATTGGTTAAAAAATCTCGTCATGCAGTGAATAATTCCATTAGGTACATATAGTGTAATAGATTACTCTTCTTAAATTTATGTCGATATTCATCTTGACCAACTTGATATCAAGAAATAGTAATATCAAATTTGCATTTGAGATTTTACATTTCAAATATATCGCGCAAAAATAGCTGCGATATATACTCATATCCATTACCATTGGAAATATATCTAATATAATATTATCAGGAAGAGAATGGTCATCACCATGGGTTACATCTACATCCTAGAAACAGTAGATTAAGTAACCACAAAATCTTTTAAAACAATAGTTGTGATTAAAAAGAGGAATTGATGCCTATTGTTTTTACTAGAAAATATAGTGCAAATTGTTTCCATTTTTCATTCGAGTACAAGTAGTTCATTCAAATAAAAATTAAACTGAATTTTAATCATTCGTACACGTTTTATGTATTTATACATATGTGTATATAAAAATTTCACTATATTCACTTTTACCATTGTGAATTCGTTGTAACGTTTTGCAAATAATTTCTGCAAAATAATTTTACCATTTATGTTTCAAAGTTATTTTATTTTTGTTGTTTACACATTATTGTTCTTACAAAACCATACCACAAATTTAAACAATTTTTTTCAATACAAATAGACAATCAGAACACATAGATTCTATAAGTCTATGTGAAAAAGTTACAATTGGCGTTTAGTGGTCCCCTTCATTGAGGAGATCACCTACAGAAATAAATATACAGCAGTCTGTGTAAAATTTACACTTAGGTCAGTAGATCATTTTTTTATAGAATGTTCTTGTTTGGTTCATTTTGTGAATGATTGGCATTATGTTCTTCGGATTTATTATGTTAAGAACAACTTTGGGTCTGCATATTTTTTTCACTGTTTTGATTACCAGGTTCCTGTGAATGATCTCATTAGTTACTGACCAAAGCGCACCTAAAACCGATATAAAATATTTGCCATTTTTACATAAAATTGCCCTAATGAATGTTAAATACATTTCATGATGCATCAAAGTAGAGTTTCGCATGTGATAATAATTATTTAATAGCAATGTCGACTAAGCTATAAATTCTTGCGCGGTTCTAGTACCGCATGCTGTATGGATTTATGCGACACCCGCTTAAATATTAAAAGTAATAACATATTCATTTCATTCAGGCGGCACGATTTCATATGTACCTCAGACCAGAATTTTGCCGCAAATGCATGTA